AGTGATTGAGGGTTTTCACCATAAACGTTTGAGATATATATGATTTATCTGATTTAAACATAACAATATATCCATGAATCAAAACATCCCATGGTACACCATAATAAGCACAATCGTTATGTTTTTAACATATCAGCTTAACAAACAAATTTAGACTTTAGAAAGACATAAACATAAAGAGATCAAAACAAACATGAAGTAGAATTAGAACAATGTTTCAGTTTTTTTTATTGTTTTGAAATAGTCCTAAACATTAGATTGCAACATTGTCATCAAAATAAAGATGAGTTGACAACTACTACTTTGTCTTAAATTTCTTTTAATATGTTGTGATGAAATAAAACCAGGATAGTTAGTGCAAAAGTCCTGCACATCAATTAACCTCCTCATGCCAACTTCCTGGACTACAGAAAAGAGAACCTTGCCAGCAACTTGTCTCTGTGTCTATTRTAGGGAAAGAACTTTAATGAACCTGTGTAAATCTCTGGCATCATAAAATGATAATAAATCTCCCTCATCGTGCAACTATTTCCAGTGTATGACATAAAAATGACTTTAAAAAAGCATATGTGTCTGAGCCTAGGTTTTTATTCTTCAAAAAGGAATCAAACAATTTTACCTAGTGGAAGTAATGAAATTGTGTCTTTCTTCCAATTGAAAAAAAAAATAGCAGCATTCAGACATGATGTTCCTTAGTAAGATAAGAATTATTTTTGACAGAAAAGATAAAATAGCTAATGCTTCTATGGTAACTTTAAATTTATAAAGTATTTTCCTGTGTTATGATTTGTGATCGTCATGACAAACTGGTTGAGTAGAAATTATTTCATCCTACATCCAAGAGCAGTGAAGCTCATAAAAATTATTTTAATGGGCTTGCTCAGCTAGTCTTGGGAGGGGTCAGTATTGAAGTCTTCCCTTTTCTTGTCAAATTCATGGGTAGCAATATATACTTTGAAAGTCAGATGGGCTGAGTAATGTTCTGGGTTGGGCTAAACCCAGGAGAGGCTGGCTAAAGCTCTGGACATCCATTCTGATTCTACATTATTTGAGCCATCTTCCAAGCTTGTCAACTCTCAAATTTTCTGGATTTCTATTTACCACTTCAAATGCACCTTTGCAATGTGTCTTGTTTGTACTATGAGGATACTGATGGAAGAGACTAGGCTTATTCATATTCACTTTATCCACAACAACTTGCATGTAAGACAACTGAAACAGATACTACTTCAATGAATTAAGTCAATTCACTTTTGCAAAATATTTTTATTAAACACCTACTTTGTGACTTGTTCAATACTAGATCAGTCAACAAGACAGAAATAACTCCAGACTGCCTCATAGAGTTTATGAACTAGAGAAGACACACTCTGAACAACAACAGAGATGGAATCTCAGAGACATTTGCTGTGGAAGCTAGAATACAGGATCCAACCCAAGGCAAAGGAATAGGAACTAATTTTCCAGAAAGACAAATTCCTAACTATCTAACTAATCTGCATTCTTAGGGCTGAAGGGAAATGAGGCGGATGAAGAAGAAAAAAATACACTTAGATGGAAAAACATCCCCTGAGGCATATCATAAATCCCTCATCTCATTGATATCATAACTCAGAAGCAAATCTAATCATGGGATTTAGGCAGGGAGGACAGTAGGTAATCAACAGATTGATTAAATTTTTTTTTACGTAGATAAATCCTGCTCTCTTAGATCTTTAGAATACATCTTCACAAATGTATTAGCCTTGCTATTAAAGCCAGAATTTTTATTTCATATATAGAGATTTACTATTCTGTTGTAGCTCAGTAGTACAGTGCTTGCCTAGCAAATGTGAGGCACTAGGTTCGATCCTCAGCATCACATAAAAATAAATAGAGATTTACTATTCTAATTGGCGACTAGCCTGGTTAAGAAACTGGATTGTTAATGAAACCAGTTGGAAAATGTTGTAAAGATTTATTTAGTCGCAGCTGTTTTTTACAACTGCAAATTTTATAGTTAGTTATTACTGTACTTCCAGTTGTAAATTAAGTCTTTATTCATTGGGATTTCCAAGGAGTTGTTATATAAGGTGCCATGAGGTTATATGTGCTATGAGGATATATTTTATAATATCCCATATTATAAAAAAACAATAAATTATATTGCTTTACGGAAAGTACTTTATTTTTAATTTTTTTTAAATTTTAGGTGTAGATGGACACAACATCATGCCTTTATATTTATGTGGTACTGAGGATCGAACCCAGGTCCCGCCCGTGCTAGGCGAGCGCTCCACCGCTGAGCCACAATCCCAGCTATAAAAAGTACTTTATACATGTAATTAAAATGTGATATTCTTGCAGCCTACAGTTTTATGGTAAAACTTGATTCAAAACTCATGTATGTATCTATGTATATATATATATATATATATATATATATATATATATAAACTTCCAGAAGGAAGTACTTATATAGTTATATAGTTTATAAGTACTGAACAATCATTGAGTAATCCCAATGGGATATTGTTACATAATGAATTATGTACTTGCAAATTCATATTTTGAAACCCTAACTAACTCCTAGGACCTTAGAATGGGACTGAGTTTGGAGATGAAGTCTTTAAAAAGGCAATTAAGATTAAACAAGGTCATAACAGGTAAGGTGCTAGTTCATAGGCCCGATGTTTTCCTGAGGAGAAGAGACAGCAGGAGTGCGTGGGCAGAGGAAATGTCATGTGAGGACAGAAAGGTGGCAATCTGCCAGCCAAGGAAAGAGGCCTCCAGAGGAACCAAAGCACCAGCACACAGACCTCAGACCTCCAGCCTCCAGAGCTATGAGAAGATGAACTTCTGTCATTTCAGCCACTAGGTCCAGGGTGTTTTGTCATGGTAGCCTGTTATGACTGAATTGTGTCCTCCCAGATTTAGATCTTGAGGCTGTAGCCCCAATCCGACTATCTTTGGAATAGGGTCTTTATGGAGATAATTAGGGTTATGTAAAGTCATAAGGGCGGGTCCCAAATCCAATAGACTGACATCCTTCTAACAAAAGGAAAATACACCAGGAGTGAGGTGCAGAGAAATGGCCATGTGAGTGAGGGCATCCAAAGCCTGCAAGAGAGGCCAACACCAGGAACAAATTTTCTAGCAACTTGACCTTAGACTTCTTGCCTCCAATAATGTGAGAAAATTACTTTTTATCATTTGAACCAACTAGTTTATTTTTGCTATGGCAACTCCAGAAAACTACACAGATACATATTTTATGGTCATAAATATACATGTACAAGTATATGCATGCTGACTGTCCAGGTAGCATCAAATTATTTAGATTTCTATTTGAAAACAGTGAGAAAGATTTTATTATGACTTTACAAATTGGAATTTTTGCGAGATTAAAAATGAGGATGAATAATTTATATTTTTGTAGCCAGATTGTATCTGAATATTAATTAGAAGAAAGAATTGTTTTCAAGAAGTGAAGTCAATGTATGGATACCTTCAAATTTATAAACAAAAAATGTTTAGGACCTATTCACAAGTTTATTATTTCAGCTTCTAGAGACAATAAAAAAATCTTGGGCTTATCTTACCTACAACCGCCAAAGAATATTACATTTGGACTCTTCTGTTTCAAATTAAACTTTTCTTATATAGCCATTATCTTTTGTCATTTATCAAGTTACCTTAAGAAGCTTTTTGTGGGCTTAATTAAGTATGACTAATTTTCCAATAGTACAAAGAAAAATTAATTCCTTAAATATTTAATCCATTTATGACTCAAAGTGTCATTTTCTGAATGCGGCTATTCAAGTCTTAGAATTAATTACCCTTTGAATTAAAGCTGATTTTTCAGACTTTCAAGACATATAGTCACATCTCATAACACTGCTTAAATTCAACATTTCATCTGCTCACCGAGAAAATGTATTCTGAATGCTGTATTCAAAATCACAACCTGACCATGGAAAAAAGGCTTTTTTGTTGTAAGTCGATAATGACCAAGTGTGCCTTCATCCTCACCTCCATTCTTACTTTAGGTTTCCCTCTCCTTTCCCTTCATCCAGGTGTGAGTGAATTAAAAATTAGCTACCTTCTATCTGCAAAATCACTGTTCTTCTTCATTGTAATTGTGTTCTCCTCAGCTCATCCTGAACCTCGCCTGCTTCCGAAAGTCGTTCCCCAGGGAAGACAGTAGACCGCACAGTCATTGACCCCCTCCCTGCCTCCTGTATCACTGTGGAACACGGAAAGCATCCAGGACTTAATTACACAGCGCCTATTTGTTCTCCCCAACTATGTTTGAAGGCTATCCAAAACCAGAAGCCATGTTCTTCAAGAGGACATTCCCTAGAATACAAGGGGATCTTAAATAGGAGCATCGAACACCCATCAGAAGTGGACTCCAGAGAAACCACATGTGCATACTTGAGCAGCCACACAGGAAAGATAACCACATGGGCATTAATCCTGAGAGCTCAGGGATTCGTTAGTGCTCAGTGGGCATTTAACCATCCCAGCACTGAGATTATAAAATATGCTGCTTGACTCAAGTTCCAAAGGTGAACAATCCCTCTGACTGAAATTCAGATCCCCTAAGGTACATCAAAACATCACACCATTATAAATTAGTATTTAGTGCTCACATGTACAAGTGTGAATCGAGGGGGAAGTTTATCTCTAGATATCGTTTTCTAGCAATAGCAATAGAATCGGTAACTGAAAAAATATTTCCAGAATAATTCATTGAGCAGTCTTCTTTTCCTTCCACTACTCCTCCCACACACCTTTGATTTAAAAGACAATTATTTACATTGCAAATATGAAACACAAAATGGCATGTTAGAATTTCTAGTTCCAGCCACTTTCAAATGCTTTGAAATAAAATGCATTTGTTGAAAAGAGAAATAGGAAAAAATGAATTAAACACACTAAACTCCAAGTGGCTATGCAAATAGAAGTCGCCAGCCCTGGACAGTAGGCCAGAACGGGCACCATGGCAGGGTACCTACCACCTTTCATCATCCCAACTTCATAGCATTTGCGGAGCCGGCAGGCTTGGCAGCTCTTCCTCCTGTTTTTATCAATCGTGCACTGGTTGGTAGCTGGACACATGTAGTCATTATGCCCTATTAAAAGCAAGAGGACAGAATTAACATTATTTCAAGGACTTTACAGGGAAACTGCTGGATGATGTTTTCATATCACTAACTTGGCTTTCCCAAGTTGCCACCTTGATCTGCCCTCCTCCTCTCCATGCTAAGTGCAAATAAACCTCAGCTGGACTTAATTTCTACCTCAGCCGATTGCTCCAGGAGGTCTTTGGAGCTCACATGTACAAATGTGAATCACACAGCCTAGATAGAGCTGTATCACCTCTCACCTGTGCCCCAAAGGTCAAGGTTCTCGGTGGGTGAGATGTTTTGTCTGGGTTTTGTGTTTTTACCCAGGCCACTCAATAAAATTGTCCAAATAGAGCTGCTAGAAATCAGATTTTAATAAGGAGTTTCAAGGTGGTCCTTCCTAAAACATAAATTAAAGGATCTTTAATTAGATACTCAATGAAACACAGAATATCTAAATTCAAGCAGGAGGGTGCTGGGTGTCCCCAAGGCTCATCCTTGAGTTAGTCGGTCACTTACTCCCTGGAGGGTGCAGAGCAAACTGCTGGACGGCTCTGGGCCTCCCTTTCCTACTCTCTAACCTAGAGACAATATGGTGTCCACTACCGAAATTATTCTAAGACTCAAATGTGAGAATACATGTCCACGTGCTTGTATCCAGTCAATCACAGGAAGTTTCTACTCTAAGTCACCTCCACTTCTTTATCCATTAAAAGAAGACTGGTTTGTATTGTGCAGAATATTAAACTTCACTAATTAATAAGTACTTTTTTGTATGAGTCTAATTGTCTTAGGGAAGTATCCTGAATTTAGACTAAGAAAGTACTATGTACTGTTTAAAAACTCGTTTCCCATTCTCCCACCTCCCCCAAACTGAATGTATACATACCACCCTCTAATTCAGATTCTCTGCTAAGGTCTTTATCTTCCCATTTAGTAAGGACAAGATGTATCATATAATGAAATGTTTTAATATAGGTCTCTTTATTAAACATAAGAGTCAAACTTGATTAAATAGGGTGGAGGGGGTGGGGCTTGACAAGAAATGCTAGCCTTATAAAACTTGTCCCTCCATCTTTAGATATACATTATAAAAGTTACTGTATAAACAGACTTCAGCTCAAATTATCATCTGCATTTTTCTATTGCATAATAGAAACCAGAAAACTATTCAATGGAGTTGTAAACTTGGAACTTTGGCAAGAGACCACACACTGCCTCCAATATCCAGGCACAGATATTATTTTTAGAAATGTCCTTATTAATAAGGACAAATTGTGGAAGTAATAGAGCCAGGAACGAAATTTGTCTGGGAAGATGCTAACTCTAAGCAAAAGGTGCATTTTTCTGGTACCATAAAGATATGGTTAGTGTTTGGTCTTCTGTGGGGTTTATTCAGAATACATTAATGTATTTTAGCTAAAAAAATGAGTACAAATTAAATTAATAATGACTTAAGCCAAATATTATGTTGACTCACTTTCTCCCCTAAAAGCAGGTGTTTTGCAAGCCAGAGGAAGATGGGAGAACTGAATAGGGTGACAGGCCAATTGGCTAAACCTTCTATTTGGATTTGTCATCCACTGGAGATGCTTATCTTTATAGAACCAAGTGAAATTCTTCAACTAACATGTTTAATACACAAAAAGCACTGGATTTGTGCAGTCAAATTCATTCCTTAACAAGAATAAAAACAGATGTACAACAGAATCACTTCATAATGTAAACCTATTTTGACAAAGCTGGGTTTTCTTTTACCTGAAATACATTAAAAAATGTTGATAAACTGATGAGAAGAAATATTTAAAAGCACAYATTTGATATCTACAATTAAAACAAATTCTTCTTTTTTAAATTTTTAACTTGTTATTTTTAGATACACATGACAGTAGGGTGTATTTTGACATATTTTTCATGCATGGAGTATAACTTAATCCAATTAGGATCCCATTCTTGTGGTTGTACATGATGTGGAGACTCACTGGTGGTGTATTTCTATATGAACATAGGAAAGTTATGTCCTTCTTAACCAAATACCAACAACAACTATTATTAGAAGAAGAAAACCAACAAAATAATATTTTTTTCCTTAATGAGTATAATTTGGTCAATGGGTATTATTAAGGCAATTGATTTAATTTGCTTTAAGAGGAAATTCTTCTTTAAATCTCATTTAATCTTGTGGGAAAAATACTCCAGAAAAAATCCTATTGAAGTATAGTTACTTTTTTAAAAAGCCAACTCACACCAGTGATATTTGCGAAGCATTCATGTGTTCACTGTAAAGACTCAAGACTCTGCATACCTGTGACTAAAGGCTGAAGCTATGAGTCATGTTCAGGTGAAGGTTTGAAAAATAATAATCACTATTTTCTTGTCCACCAAAACACAAAAATGATGACTAGGGTTGCAGCTCAGTGGAAGAGCACTGGCCTAGACTGCACCACATGCTGGGTTCAATCCCCAGCACTGCAAAGGTAAAGATCAAAAGTAAATAAAAATGAGAAGCCATTGGGGAATCTATAATTTGAGTAATAGGAAGTAGAGGGACAGCAGACACAGCAAACAACCAGACAGCCAGAGAGTGGGGGGAGAAGACACCTGTACACAAGATTCATCAGGTTCTTGGGGAACAGAGGATTCCCATGAACTTCACCTTCAGCATGTCTGAGTTCTTTTCTCTTGACTTTTTCCTTCTCTTATTCTCCCCCTTTTGGTAGCAGATGATTTTTTTTTCTTTGTTACCATCACTCAGAAATTCTACATTTGTTAGTTATAAAAATAAGCAATCACCCATAATCAGAGATTTAAAAGGAATATAAACTCAGGCCATATAAAATAAGCAGTAACATGAGAGAAACCCACTATTGTGGGTCCTTATTTTTACCACCTTTTCCTCAGTACTTTCTTGACTGTCACCTCAGGCCGAATTTCTTTCCTGAACTTCAGATTTCTATGTCCACTTGCCCTCGGTCCATAGAGACTTGACTCACAGACTCTTCAGAATGAACTTGTCCCAGTGAGATTGACTGTCTTATTGCCTCAGCAGTGTGTCCGTACCCACCACGAGACCAGAAACATGGGTGTTATTCTAGATCTTCTCTCTTCCTCAGTGGACCCTCCTTCCATACCCCTCATCATACACATGAACACAGACACATGCACAGAGAAATCAGATCCATTATTTCTAACTTTTTCAAAGCAGACCAATTTCTTCCTATGCTCACCCTCACTACTGGAGTCTGTACCATCTCCCATCTGGATCATCACAACAGCCCACTGTGTGTTTCCCTGCCTCCAACTTTCCCCTGTCAACCTTCTCACCATGTGGCCACTGATTTTTTTTCAAAATCACACCCCATGCTACCACTATCCTGAATTATATTCTCACTTGCCTCCAAGGACTAAGGATAAAATCCAAAACCCCAACACAGCTTACAGAGCTCTTCCCAGCTCCTCCCCAAGATTCTCTCCACACTCCCTAAGGCATTCCTGGGTTCCAGCCATGTCTTCTGTCCAAACATGCCAGGCTCCTGTCACTCTCAGGATTTTGCATGGGCTCCTTTTTCTTGTGGATACTGCACCCTCCCTACTCTTGCATGGTGGGTTCCTGTTCAACTTTCAAGTATGCATATGAGATATGGATTCCTCTGAGAAATCTCCTCTGCCCCTCCAACCATGCCTAGTTTATGTCCTATTAGCACTTACTACATGGGACTTGATTGCTTTTCTCAATTCCTGGATGGGTTTAGGCGTGACAAGGATGGACCCTCTCTGTCTCATCCATTACCATGTGCTCTGCACATTCTCAGGCACACAGTGGAGCTTAGTGAGTCTGTTAAATGACTCAAAGAAAGATGCCAATGTTCTGTTGCCCCCTCCTTCATCCTGTCTGAGGAGCACAGGCTTCTTTATATCAGGGTTCTATAAAGAAAGTAATGACTGACAGAAAAGCAGTCATCAAGAACACAAACAATAACAAAGGCTGAAGAAGATGTGAAGAAAGAGGAAACCTTCACCCTGTGAGTGGGATTGTTACTTAGTACATCCACTATGGAAAGCAGTATGGAGGCTCCTCAAAGAGTAGCATGGAACCACCATACAAGCCAGCTATACCACTTCTCAGCATTTATCCTGGAGAATTAAAATCATCTTACTTTAATGGTACATGCATACTATGTTCATAGCAGCATAATTCATAACAGCCAATGTACGGGACCAGCCTAGGTGTCCATCAAAAGATGAACGGATAAAGAAAATGTAACATACACACAATAGAGTTTTATTCAGCTGTAAAGAGAAATGAAATTATGTCACTTTGGGAAAATGGGTGGAACTTGAGAATAACATGTTAAGTGAAATAAGCCAAACTCAAAATGTTTTCTCTCATATATGGAAGTAAAAAGGAAAATAAAAGTTGGAGGGATCTCATGACAATTGAAGGGAGATTTGCAGAATAAAGGAGAGGGACCAGAGGAGGGGAGGAGTGGTGGGAAAGGGGAAATATGATCGTTTCAATAGATGCAGAAAAAGCATTCCACAAAACACAGCACCCCATCATGTTCACAACACTAGAAACTAGGGAAAATGGGAACATACCTCAACATTGTAAAAGCTATCTATGCTAAGCCCAAGGCCAACATCATTCTAAATGGAGAAAAATTGAAAGCATTCCCTCTAAAACTTGGAGCAAGACAGGGATGCCCTCTTTCACCACTTTTATTTAACATAGTCCTTGAAATAATAGCCAAAGTAATTAGACAGACAAAAGAAATTAAAGGGATGCAAATAGGAAAAGAACTCAAACTATCATCATTTGCCAACAATATGATTCTATACTTAGAAGATTGAAAAATTCCACCAGAAAACTTCTAAAACTAACAAATTAATTCAGCAAAGTAGCAGAATATAAAATCAACACCCATAATCCAAAGCATTTTTGTACATCAGTGATGAATCCTCTGAAAGAGAAATTAGGAAAACTATCCCATTCACAATAGCCTCAA